ACTCGGCTGCCTTCTCCTGCTCAGCCCCTGTGGGCTGTAGGTTGAAGTGGGGGTGATGAGAGAGTGGGAAGGACCGTGCAAACCACAAGTGCGTGTCATTCACAAGCCTGCCTTGCAGCATTTCCCCCACGGGCCATTTTTCATCTCTGCGTCCTGTGAACTACCGTGACATTTCAAGGTTTGTGACGAGTTGAATTTCATACCCGTGGGTGAAAAAGACACACTGATCATTGCCCAAAGTACAATTTAAAGTAAGATCTTCTTTAATGCTCTAGAAGAATTATAAGTCAACATCCTTTTAGGCTTCAGAGCAAAAAGAGCAGTGTTGATATCTCAAATGGAGATATTCATTCATTCAATATTAATTCATTCTTTCATTCACTCACTCATTTGACAATCTATTTCAAGTGCTGTTTTGGGTCAGCTTCCCTGGGTGGGATGCTGAGATGGAGATCTCTGTGTGGGAATTTCAAGGAGTGCTCTCGGGACAATACTTGTGAAGGAAGCAAGATCAGGCAGAGAGAGAAGCTGAACTGAGATGCAGTAGGCAGATCCTGATCCCGAGGGGAGCACTGGAGCTGGATCGTTTCCCTTCAGAGTTGCTCCACCTTGAGGCAAGGGGACAGGAACTTTAAACCTCCTCATGGCTGCCCCATGGAAGAGGCGTGACCTTGGGTAAAATGGTTCCCTCCCACTGGAGGCAATTCCCAGAGAAGGACCCAGCTGACATGTCACATCCTTCCAGCCACTTAGGGATCAAGGGAGAATCTGGGCAGCACGCCACAGCGTACACCCCAAGTGCCAACTAAGGACTAGCATTTAATTTAACTACTCCTACCAACCTTGAAGTTTTTCTCTAAATTAGATTATCATGAAAAGTAAATATGGGAACATACCAGGTTCTCTTGATTTAAAGTTATCTCAGGGCCGGCCCCGTGGCTTGGTGGTTAAGTGAGCGCGCTCCACTGCTGGCGACCCGGGTTCGGATCCCGGGCTCGCACCGACGCGCCGCTTCTCCGGCCATGCTGAGGCCGCGTCCCACATACAGCAACTAGAAGGATGTGCAGCTGTGACACACAACTATCTACTGGGGCTTTGGGGGGAAAAATAAATAAATAAAAAAAAATAAAAAAAAAATCTTTAAAGTTATCTCACAACTGATTCAATTTAATAAACAATTATTAAGAACTCTACTATGGTCAACAACCCAGAAATCCATCTACAGGTGAATGGGTAAACAAACTGTGGTATATTCATATAATGAATTGCTACTCAACAACAGAAAGGAATGAGCTCTCCATAGATGCCACCTCAGAGATGAACCTCAAAATAATTATGCTGAGTGAAAGAAGCTGGACAAAGAAAGCACATACTGTGTGATTCCAGTTATATAAAATTCCATAAAATTCAAACAAATCGATAGTGACAGAAAGCAGATCAGTGGTTGCTTCAAGAGGCAGGAGGAAACTTTTGGGAGTGATGGATATGTTCACTCTCTTGATTGTGATGATTTCATGGGTGTGTGCATATGTCAAAATTTATCAAATTGTACACTTCAAATATGTACAGTTCACTATGTCAATTATACCTCAATAAAGCTATTTTAAAAACTACTATGAAAGGGTCTGTGCCAAGCCCCAGGAACACTAATGTAAATGAGAACCAAACTCTGCTTTTAGTGAGCTCAAGAGTCTAGCAAGGGAGACAGGTGCATATTCAACTAAATATAATGCAACTCAGAATAAAAACTAGCATGGTAAAAAGAAAGAAACTATGGGCGCAAAGAAAAGTGGAAATTGACTTTTTTCTGGGCAAACGGAGGACAATAACAGCTAATGCATATAGTATTTACTATGTGCCAGGCACTAAGTACATTAACTTCTTTAATTCTCAAAACAACCATAGGAGTGGGTGCCATCATTATATCCATTTCACAGGTGAGGAAACTGAGGCTTTGGTTCCGGACTCCATGTTCTTAATCACTAGGTCCTTCTCCTCTCTGAGAAGTGCCACATTTGATTTGGGCCTTGGAAGATGAACAGAATCTCCCCAGGAAGAAAAGGCCATGTTTGGCAGAGAGGGCAGTGGGAACTAGGACACAGTAAGACTACAGCTATGAAAATGTGTGCTTGAAACATAACAAGAATTTTCTATGGGTATGTTTTGGGGAGTGGTGAAAAAGGGGGCTGAAAAGGTAGATTGGGGCGAGGGTGTGAATGGCCTTAAATGATTTGCTAAAGAGTCTGGACCATAACCTTCTGGCAAAAGGAAACCACTGAAAATTTTTGAGCAGAAGAATAACATCGAATTTGTGTTTTAGAAAGAGAATGGAAAGGAAAGAGAAAATCCACCTGTCTGCAGTTAAATGAACACCTGGCCAATGTTATGTGCATCCATTCTCAGGTATTGCACTAAACCCACATTCAATCAATAGATTTGAGATAGACTACACTGTAAATTTAGGTTTCAATCTCAGAATATTTTATTCTCTGGTCATCTGAGTCCTGTATTCATTCTGTTTTCACCTATGTTTCTGTACATTTTTCCCCAATAGAGAAAATGACAGAAAACCACAGCTGGAAAAGAGAGAAGCCAAGTGACCCTTCTCCAGGCCCCTACCTGAATCGAGTTCAGAACTGGTCCAAGTTTTTTTCCACTGGCTTAAAATGACAAGTCCCATGATGACACTTTTACTTTTGTTTCTTGTAAAAGTGATTTTTGACCTCCTCATACATTCAAGTTAGATGGTGAGCTCAAGATCTGGAAAATCAACCAATACCTAAGTCCAAACATGTTGCTGGCTCCATCAGGTGTGATGTCACATCTGATACTAATGGAAGTAAAGCTCTTTCCTCCTGTGCTTTGACAGGAAGTGTTAGAAAATCCTATAAGGAATAGCACTCTTCTAGGTGAAAATGTGAGAAATTATTAACTAGCCGTGGGCAATTCACACCTTCCGTGGGAGGCCCAAAGAGACACCTTAAACGTACTTTCCTTGGGTTTTTTTGTTTGTTTTTTTTTTTTTTGTGAGGAAGATCATCCCTGAGCTAACATCCATGCCAATCCTCCTCTTTTTGCTGAGGAAGACTGGCCCTGGACTAACATCTGTGCCCATCTTCCTCCACTTTATATGGGACACCGCCACAGCATGGCCTGACAAGCAGTGCATCGGTGCGTGCCCGGGGTTCCGAACCCCGGCTGCCGGCAGTGGAGCGAGCGCACTTAACCACTACGCCACAGGGCCGGCCCCCCTTCCTTGGGCTTTTTTAAGGGGTAGGAGACAGGGTACAAAAATAAAGCGACGTGGGCCAGCCCGGTGGCTTAGCGGTTAAGTGCTCACACTCCGCTACTGGCAGCCTGGGTTCGGATCTCAGGCGCGCACCAACACACCGCTTCTCTGGCCATGCTGAGGCTGCGTCCCACATACAGCAACTAGAAGGATGTGCAACTATGACATACAACTATATACTGGGGCTTTGGGGAAAAAAAGGAGGAGGATTGGCAATAGATGTTAGCTCAGAGCTGGTCTTCCTCAGCGAAAAGAGGAGGATTAGCATGGATGTTAGCTCAGGGCTGATCTTCTTCACACACAAAAAAATAAATAAAATAAAATAAAATAAATAAATAAAAATAAAGCGTTGCCCTAAAGCAAAGACACAACATTAGCAGGAAAATCAACCATGGAATTTCCTGGAGGGACTCTTATGGGGGGCAAAAAAAATCAGACCAAAGACTCAAGTCTTGGTTTGTGTTCTCAGTTCTGCCACTGACTCACTGTGTCACCTCAGGCAAACTCCTTAATTCTCTATTTTAAAAAATGGTACAATGCAAACTCCTCATTCGCTGCTTCCATAAGTAAGTCAATATATTTCAATATAGTCAACAGCATTTATGGAGAACCTTCTATGACCCTAACCACACCAGCTGGTAGCAGAGTCAGGGCAAGCTCCCACATTTTTTGATTTCTATTCCAGAACATTCTCACTATCAGTGTTGCTCAAACTTGCCTTAGGATATCTGGAGAGCTTGTTAAACATGCAGGTAGCTCCTCATTCAAGTGAGATTCTGATTTAATCAATCTGGGGTTGACCCTAGCAATCTGCATTTTTTAGCTGGAGGCCCAAGACATTCGTATCATCGTACAATTTGAGAAACATTACATTATATCCTGTTAAACTCTACAAGAAAGCTCTATTTTCTCTCCTCTTTTCATTCTCTTTCTACGTGTTAAAATAGGTAAAATATTTAAAAGACATGTTTGATGGATAAAATTTTCCCTACCCAAACTTCAAAACATTTATAGAATATTAACTCATTTCAATTATAACCAGTAAATATTATTTCCTTTACAATGTTCCAAACACTGCAGACTAGCTTCTATTTTCTAAACATAAGTCTATTAGTATTTTGCTGTGTATCCCTAGAAAAAAAAAAACGAAATAAAGTCTATCTATCTCAATTGTCCAATTAATGAGAATTAAATACCAAAATAGTTCGATTGCCTATTGTTACCTCCACTAGATTATATTCTCCAAAAAACAAGGAGTTTATCTTTCATATTTGATCATACCTTAGAGCAATGCAGACTAGATGGCTGGATAGGCAAAGAGACGGATGAATGGATGGATGGATGGACAGATGGGTGAATGGGTGGATGGGTGGATGGATGTGTGAATGGATGGGTAGGTAGATATACAGATCTTTTAAATGAGAAAATATACGAATGAATAAATTCTTCCCCTGATAACCATTATAAATTGTTGCCAGAGTTACAAATATAAAATATTCACAAGGGTTCAGCAAAAATTGTCTAATTATAATTGTCTAATAAACTAGAAAAGTAAAAATAAGGTGATATCACTACACAGGGACATTTTATCATTTCTCCCACCTCTCCTCCCCGTCCCCCAAAAAGCCTTGTCACTAGTTGACTTACCACTACTACCCACGGGTAGTAGAATGATTTGTGCCACCAACACATCACTCACACCTCTCCACAATCGAGATGACACATGTGGTCCCCTAAATGTTCCACCAGGAAGTATTTTGGGGGCAGCCAACTAAGAGGGGGCTTCCAGAGCCGACGCAGGAGTTGAGACACGTGAGGTCACAAAGCTATTGCCTCTCCCCCTTCAAAAGAAACCACTCTGCTCCATTTATTTCAGAACCTAGAGGAAGTCGACAAAGTGTGACAGCAGCACAGCACAATATGTGGTGGAGAGTTTGCAGCTTGCTGGCTTGGTTCCCCTTACAAGGTAAGGACTAAGAGCTAATGTTTTTTGATGCTCAGTTGACCTAATGTTTCAGTCAGTCAACTGCGTTCCTGGAGGACTTACTACAGAAAACAACCAGGTAAATTTGCTAATACTTTCCAAGCCTCGCCAGAGTCACACCTCTGAGGGATGTTACTGCATTTATTTGATCTCTTGTTCAATTGCTAAAGAAAGGATCATGGTAGCATGTGTCTCTATGGGATCGTTGTTATGGCAAAAGGTAAGAAGCTTATTAGCCTCTGTCTTTTAAGGGTGTACCAGTTGAAAGAGCGTCAGTTTTGAATTTAAAAACTTTCTTGCTGTATAAGCCTTAGCCAAATAATTTAATTTCTCTGAAACTCAGTTTTGGCATCTTGAAATGAAGATGACAACAATGTTTAATCTACCAAACTCCCTGGATTATTATAAGGATCAAATTTCAAATGTGAAAGCACTTTGAAAATGGCAAAGTGCTATACAACTCTTAATTAGTTCAGAGACAATAATGAGCCCAAGGAAAACTTTGTGCTTATTTTTTGAGTCAATTATATTTGACATTTTATTATACTTTTCAAATGTGATTAATGCTTAATTCTAATGTAGCATTATGAAAATTAAAGAAAGATACAGTGACCTCCTTAGCACAGGTCAAATTATTCCTACCCAAAGGTGGGGGCAGGGTGTAGGTGTCCCTGAATCTCTGATTGCAACTTGTATCAGATTCGTGCAAAAGAAACCACACATGAACATATTGCTTGCTCATTGTATGTGTGTTTGTTGTGTGTGTTTCTGTTTCCAAATACTGAATCCGTAGTTACGTTTCAGGTAATGCACCTATCCTTGTAAATCTGCATTCACCATAGAACTGCATCTGATTTACCTATATTGCGGATGATGAAAATCTACCAATTTGCACTCTCTATTCTGGTTATTTAGTGGAGGGTAGGCTATAGGAAGCATAAAGAACAGTTGCAAAGTGAGTAGGGTCCAGTTGATACTTCTTTTGACCAGGAAAGAGTCACGTGTTTGTTGACACATTATTGAGAGTGCTTCTTTAAAGCTATGCTGGAAATAATTTGATTTTGACAAAGTCAGACTCATTTTCGTACGTGTAATTTTCTCTATTGATTTTATCTAAAAAATAATATAATCTTTTTTTGTAAGGATCTGAATTAAGGCACATTTTTGCCTACTGCCTCATAATAGTCACGTAAATAGGGCTCTGGTTTGAGACAACTCATTGTGTGTCTCTGGTTTTAACTTAGCTGTAGTTTTTCATATTCAGCATAATAAATACAGAGCAAAGTTAGCATCCTATTAAACTATTTATTACTGTATATATACATTTACTCATTTTTAGCCATTAATTCAACTAATACTTAAAATCCTACTTTGTGCTAGGGCCTGGGACTATAAAATGAATGAATGGCAAACAACTTTTCCATGAGGAGTCTGTAGTCTATCCACAGAGACATACTTGTAACCAAATAACTATAAAGTAATGTGCTAGGTGCTGTAATAGAAGTCCATTCAAAACCTTTGGGGATCTGGAGAACAGAGTGGATCCTTGTGGGGAGGTGGGAGGATAAAGAGTGATTGGGCAGGTTTGACAAAAGTGGTTAATTTGAGTTGAGTCTTGAAGGAGATAAGAAAGGCATTCCAGGCCAACAGCACAGCATGGACAAAGGCAAAGTATCTACTTGAGCTTGGAACTTGCTGGAAACAGCAAGTGGCCACTTGCATGGAGCATCTGGAAGGGAGTATCAGCAGATGATATGGAAGGAGCAAATAGGAGTCAAGTCAGGTGGAATTTTGGCCTGATTCCTACAGGAAATGGAAGCCATAGCACATATTCTAATGAAGGAAGACACATAATCAATTTTACATTTTTAAATGTAATTCTAGAAGCAGATGAGGATGATAAATTAGAGGGAAGAGAGACTAGAAGGAAGTTATTGCAATGGTCCAAGAAAGAAACAATGGAGACCTCAACTAAGACAATGATAGTAATGATAAAAGAGGAATAAATTGATTAAAGAGATGTTTTGGAGAGACAGGAGGCTAGGGTGCCTCTTAAAAATTCTGGTATGCAGTGGCTGGTGATGACATTAATTAATATAAGGAAACAGTGGAACGGAGCAGGTGTGTTAGGTGTGTTTGGAGCATGGGGGCACTCCAATTGGACATGATGAGTTTGGGGTCCCTGCAGGACTGACTTGCTCTGTTCTGGAGTTTTTTAATTTATTGCATGTAGTAACTGGGCTATTAAGGTAAGAAAAAGAAAGATTATTTTATTCTTTCTTCAGTCTATCATGATGACCTATAGTAGAGGTGGATATGACACACTTTAACTCCCAAAATCTTGGGGAAAATGAAGGACTCTTAAGAACTGTACAGGTTTTATCTGTGGGTGCTTTTCGGCAGGTGGCTGTGACTGCTGCTTGCCCTTCTGCTCAAGGGTTGGTCACATGTGCTTTGGCGTGAAGCCATTCCACTGCTAAGACAATTAGTTTATGGGGTTGGGGGTACAGCTGATGGTGAAGGTCACAGGTTCCAGTTCCATATATAAACCAGTCACAATCTATAGCCCCAGAGTCAACTAGCAGCCTCATAACACAGGGCCATGCATGGATGGATGAATTTAGCTGTGGAGATAACGATCAAACCCAGAAGTCAATAATCCACTCAGTAAACATGACTTACTGGTAGTAAGTGGTGACCTCCCAGGAGAAACATTCGTTGCCAAGCTCTGTACGCTCAGCATTTGTGGAGCCGTGTAGGGCTAATTTGCAGTCTGGAACTCTGAAGCCCAAATAGAAAGAACTAGGAAGTAGACACAGGCACTCAGGGTCAACCCAAGAAAGACTAAGGGTGAATAAGGATATACATGTCTTTAGAGCCTGCAGGGGAGGAAGTGGTGAGCAAAGACACCACACACCCTATCCCTCTGACAAAGAAGGTAAAAGTTTGACTCCAAACTTAGCTGAAAAAAAAATTTTAAAGACGAGTTCCTGTTTAGTCCTCAATGGCGATGAGAGGATCATGGGGAACTTTTCCTTAGAAGATGTGCCATCAAAACTTGGGTACAGCTATCCTCTTCCACCCTTTAACGTGACCTAGACACATTGAACAAGATTTTTAAGCACTGCAGCTGAAGCAGTGTGGGTCTGTGGCTTCTCACCTGGGGCCATTGTTCCTTTCTGCAATGATTTCCTGTCTCTAAATTAAATATGGGGTCTACATGATAACACTGCACGATACGCACGCCTGGAGAGCAGAAAGCAAGGCTTGGGGCAGAGTAGAGGAAACAACTAACGTTCAATGCCTCAAACATAGCCCTTTCCATCTGAAACTCAGGCATCTATGGTTGTGGTCAGTGCGGTCAGCAGCCTGAGACTGAATTCTCAACAGCAAGAGCAAACACTCATCTTAGGAGATACAATTCTTCAGCATATGTTAAAAGGCCATACTACATTTCATTATAAGTTTTAAGACACTGTAAGAATTAAATGATGCTATTTAATTCATAAGCAGAATCCCAAGAAAAAGACAATGATATATAGATCTTTAAAATGGGAGACATTTATTCATAAACAGGCTGCAGATAAATCTCACAACTCGCATTTCTCCAAATGCAAGCTTCCTGTCTAGACAATCATTAACTAAAGGTAAGAACATTGGTAAACTTCTAAGTGTCAACTTCTCGCCGAAGGATGATATCAGAGCATGTTGCTTAACACTAGTCTTTATTCTACCATTGATTCAATGTAGTAACTCCCCTCCTGTCTCTTAGTATTCTTATTAGCAACAGGAGAGCAAAGATATCTGTGCATTATAGTGCCACCATGAAAGCAGACATTAAACCATTACTTTTCAAGCTCACACTGTGATAGTTCTGTAAGGAATGAATTTTAGAAAAATATAAAATGTAGCCATTGCCCTCTAGAAACTTCAGGCTGTTTGTGGGGAGCAAGATAATGCACAAGAACTAGAGTAAAGCAAAAATCATAATGGAATGATTATGGAAGCAATGGAAATTAGACAATTCTAGATTCAAATTCTTGGCTCAGAAGTTGCTTAATATGGGAAGAAATTCCATTGTCATCTCAAAGCATCTCTACTGATATTATCCTTATTACTCAATTATGAGTTGATTTTATAGATGAGAATATTTCCAAATGACCCCACCTAAGCAGAATTCTGGCCTTATGTCTCAATGCTTTTTTGAAAACACGATCATTTTTTATTGACTCCTCGTTGTTCATTACAGTATTGGCTCATGATATGGGTATTTTCCACTAGAACTCAAGCAAACTGTTTTCCCATGAAAGTCAATATGAACACAATACAATATTTCTGGGTTATTATTGCCGGAGGCTAGATTAAAATTAATGACCTAGGAATGGAACAGACTAAAAAGTTTGCACCAATTAATTCCCAGAGCTCTCCAAAGCACTTTTCCTCATGCTTGAAATTTATCACAAGGAAATAAAGTCTCCTCTTGTTTCTTTTCTTTCTTTTTTAAGGTTTAAGATGATGCAGTAAAACTCATTATATTTGCTATTCATAATTTATAACCCCATGGTATTCTTCTGTTTATGGAAGTGTTTGGTACTTTCATTGATAAGAATTGTCTTGTCCTAAGGAAAAAAGAATGTTTTTTTAATTTAAAACTTGAAGAAATAACGAACAGTAATAAATGTGTCAAATCAGCAGTAAAACCAATTTATTTTTCTATCAATTTCCTTTTTGGGAGGATAAATTCGCAGCTGCTTAGAATCAACTGTTTACCATTCTCTGGGGGTTGTGATTTGGGGAAATTAGACTCTCCCGTTTGCCTGGACAAAGTGCTGCTGTGGAATATTAAATCGGAAGAGATCTGAGAACATCCTCCCTCTGGTATAGAAGCTCTTGTGCAGGTGGGACTTAACTACTCCCAGTGAAGGGCAGCTCCCTAATTCACAAGAGCAGCACAGATTATAACATTCTTTCTTAGAATCCTAGACACACAACTTGTACTTAAAGGTACAAGTCGCCAGTTTTATAAACTGAGGCCAGAAAGGCTGAGTTTTCTGGGGTCTCATCCCTTAGATAGTCCAACCTAGTTACATGAGATGGTCTGATCTAGTCTTTGAAGCCCACAGACCTGGGTATAGATCCCAGCTCCAGGACCTGTGTGACCTTAGGCCTCTATTCTCTCATCTGTAGAGTGAGCAAAATAATTCTTCCTTTATGGGGTTAGTTTGAAAGTTAAATTAAATATATGTAACATGGTCTGGCACAGTTGCTGGTGTACGACAGAGCAAGCGCCCAATAGATGTTGTTCCACTTCCCCCTTTTTTCCTATCAAAACCCCACCCCTTCATTCAGACCTCCTTCATGAGACATCTTTACTGCTCCTACATACAGTGCTCGCTCCTTTCCTTGCATTTTTTGGTACTGACTTATATTTTGTTTCTATAAGAAATGTGTAATAAATAATCGAATGAATGAACAAGTAGTCCCTGCCTCAGCTCAGGAGTGGCTGGTGCCAACCTGACTGTCCCCCATTCTCTTCCTCTGCAGAGGCCTTTCTGACCAACCACATGGAAACTGTCACCGTGGAGGAAGGCCAGACGCTCACTCTAAAGTGTGTCGTTTCTCAGGAGAAGACCGCCTCCCTGCAGTGGCTGGCCCCATCAGGGTTCACCATTTTCTTAAATGAGCATCCTGGTAAGTGAAGGAAAAGTAAATCACCACCAGACCTCAACCTCAGGGGTTTTCCAGACCACCACATTGGTGGGACAGAAAGCCTATGAGTCACCCACATGGTGGGCTTGGCTCCACCTACTATTACACGTCAATCACACTCTGAAGCCTGTGATTTTACACACAGCTGCTTTTATTCACAGGAAGTCTGAAATGGAAACCCCACCAGAATGATTGGTAAAGGGGGCTTAAATTACAAAGCGCATTTCCATGCGCTCAACTCACCCCTACACCACATTTTGGCTCTCAGCGGCCATGAAACAACCAACAGCACAATGATAGGCAGCAGACCGATGTAGCGCCCTTTGTCCTCACGCGGCCAACACCATCGCCCCACATCTGGACCCAGCTGCTTCGTTTTCTGTCTGAGCAATCCAAAGTCATATCACAAAGCTCCCTTCCAGATGTCACCTCTTCTCCTGTTGATCTTAACATGAAATCAAGATCGCTAAACGGTAGGAATGGACAGGACATATTACCTTGGAAAGAAGGACAGTCTGTCCTCTCTTCACAAACATACATTAAGGGAGTCCTAGAGGCCTGAGGTGGAAAGGGACTTTTCTTTTTTTCAGTGTTATTAAGATACAATTGACATATAACATTGTATTAGTTTAAGGTGTACAAAATAATGATTTGATATATGTCTATATTGCAAAATGATCACCACACTAAGATTGGTTAACATCCGTCACCTCACATAGTTACAAATTTTTTGTGTGTGGAAAGAGATTCTTAAAAATTTATTTAGTTCATCTCTTTGGGCAGGATTTTACTAAACCCTCCCCATTCATAATGAGACCATTTTGTATCTTCATTTAATATTCCTAACTGCCAAGTACTTGGAAAAGTCTCCAAAACAGCAAATTTCATTCTGCTTTGTAAAAGCAGAGCCTCTAAAATTTTTGATATATTTTGAAAACATTATTAAATATTGATATTTTAAATATAAAATAACGAATTTATTTCAAGTTAAATCAACTATTAATGCTAGATTCCAATGGAATAAGTAGATACTAACTGTTAAAACTTCTGAGAGAAAAACCTTTAAGTAGAGATAATTCTGTTAAATAAGGCTTTCTGTCGTTTTTGTTTTTGGTAAACTAGGGGAAGATAGACATTCTCAAATTTCTATAGCAGAATGCCTTGATCCAGCTGCATGGTTCTCAACCAAGGGTAACTTTTGCCCTCCAGAGGACATTTGGCAATGACTGGAGATAGTTTTGGAGGTGGTTATAACTGGGGAAAGGCAGGAGGGTCTGGCATCCAGTCAGCAGAGAGGCCAGGGATGCTGCTAAACAGCTTACAGTGCACAGTTCAGCCCCCGCAACAAAGAATTATGGACTCAAACGTCAATAGAGCTGAGGTTGAGAACTCCTGGATTCTATTTCACGTAACGTCAGTGCCCCAGGACACACAACCATTGTTCCAGATGAGAAACAACCTTCCTTGATCAGCCATTCAAGGTTTAACTATTTTAGGCTTGTTCATATTATAAATCTTAACAGTAAAAAAAAAGAAAGAAAGAAAAACAAGCAAAACCACTCATTTCAGGAGCCTCTGATTTGCTGAGACCTCTGCCCTAAGATAGAAATCCCAGGTCAATATAGAATCAAGAGAACACTTGCTCTTGACTGGAACTTTCTGGAGCTTGCCTTTTTTTGTTGTTGTTTTTTTGCTGTTGGCGAAATACCTGGAAGAACTAAGTCATAATCTTTGGAAAATATCAAATAATAATGAACTTTTAAAAATTAAAAATAAAAAGCACTCAGCCAGAGCAACAAACATTAGCACGTTTATCTTCCATTCTCACATTCATCGTGACAAGACAACCCCAAATGAATAATATTTCAGAGGTAAAAAATAGTGGGGCATTTTTCTTAATGTAAAAAAAGAAAAAAAAAATGTCTTTAAAATCCTCCCGCAACCTGAACCCTTCACCAACATACTCTTCTTAATTTCCTACAAGCACAAATAAAGCAAATTATTTCACAGATCCCAGTATCAAAACGTTTCATTTTCTAAGCTAACTTTGAGCTATTGAGAGGCATCCAGCTGGTAACACTAGAATTTGGAAGGCAGCTCAATCGAAGATGTGACATTTGTTCCTTTAAAGTGTGAAAATCAAAAGCTATTCCTGTGAATAATCAATCCACTGAGCGTCTGTATTCATCTGATACCTTTCACTATAACAGCTTTTTTCTCTCTTGTACAGCTTTTAAAAATTCCAAATACCAGCTTCTGCATCACTCCACCAATCAGCTCTCCATCATCGTGCCTAACGTAACCCAGCAAGACGAAGGCGTGTACAAGTGTTTACATTACAGCAAGCCCGTGAGAACAAAGCAAGTGAAAGTGATTGTGCTAGGTAGGTGCCTGAAAGCCACTAAACCCAGGATGGGAGCGATGCACTTAGGAACATGATATATCATTTATAAACTTAACATTTCAGTTAAGAAATGTTGCCTACAGCGAGGCATTTCCTGGGGCACCTCTGCCATCTTTTGTTGAAAGGAAACAAAAAGGAGCATTTTGAGTGGCAAGCCCTAGATTAAAATGTGAATTTGTGAAATTCATCTTTTGCATCAACAAAATTTTCTCTCCAGGGAACTAAAAGAAAAGAGAATAAATATTTGATCAGCTGTGACTATGTGCCAGGCACTGTGCTAGGCTCTAGGGAACCAAAGATAGGTTAGGCACAATCTCTGCCCACAAGGAGTTTGCACACTAGTTTAGGCCAACAAAACATGTATGGAAATAAAGTGGAACCTTAAGACAGCATATCCTAAGAGAGAATGAATTCAGATGTAATTGTACTGACATACAGGCGTGGATAGGAAGTGACAGCCTCCAGATTGCCTGGGACTGGCTCAGTTCTGTAGATGGTCAAGTGTGTTCAGTGTCAGTCTTACTATCTTTGCTTTTTTGCTTTTTGGGGCAGAACAGATCAATTAAAAACATTGCTTTTTATTGATCTCTAAATAACATAATCCTACATGTCACACAAATGAATTTCTTAGACTTCTCTTGTTGGAAAGGCATGGTGGAAAAGTATCTGGGAAGGAATGGCTCCCTAAGGGTTTTGAAAACCAACATGACTCAGCTCAGGGGTTGTCTTCTCCCCGCCTTTCTGGCCCCCAGCAGTACTCTGCCTCAGACTGCTTGTGTGCTCTTCTGGGCTCTCGAAACACCATCTACATATGTCTATCACTGCACTTAACACATGATCTTTTCATGAACAGTTTAGGGCTGAGTCTATCACCAGACGATTAGCTCCTTGCAGGGCCATATCTTCTCTGTCTTTGCACTGCCAGCAGCTAACACATCTAGTGCATACCTGGAGCTGACGTTACAGTGTCTCGAAGGCAAGTGGACTAGTAAATAAATGTGGAAGAGTGCAGTTCTGGGCCAAAGTGTGAAGTAGAATGGGAAAGAGGAAGAAGTAAGCCTAAAAAGTATTTCCAAAACAAGAGTAGGAAGAAAAAGACCCTTTATAAGAGAAATGCATCTTTGATGTTAGGAGGGGCCAGAAGGAACTTACCTTGAGGTGAGTCACAGGCTCATGAAAGCTTAGAGCTGAAACAGCCAACTCATAAACCAGCTCCTTCATGTCACAGACAAGGAAACTGATACACCAAGAAGCTGGGGGACTTACCCAAGTTCTTACAACAGACAGAGGTGGGACTAGAATTCAGGTCTCCATTCCTCACCTAGTGCTCTACCAATCAAATACAGTTAGATGTCAAATTTAAGAATTGCTGTTCTAACACAGTTGGTTTGAGAATTTCTAGAGACTGATTACACACTGAGTAACAAACATTCTGACTATAGCCAAAGCAGCTTTACATGTACATAAAATCCCTTTAACTGTATTCTGGGAAAAGTCAAGTAAAAAAATATGCTCATCATTTAGACCATTCTACAATAATCCCTACAGATTATTAGGCTCTGTGCTTTGCTGAGATATGTAGACCAACTAATTAAGCACAGAAAAATCAATTTTCTTATAGCAACTCCTTTCAAGCCAACTCTGGAAGCCTCAGTTATTAAAATGCAAAATGGAGAAAAACACATTATACTTAAATGCTCCACTGTGAGAAGCAAGCTCCCTCCTCGGATAACCTGGCTTTTCAGCAATGACATAGAGCTCTATGGTAAGTGAAGAAATGGCTCTCTTTCTTCCTTTGTTTTCCTTCCTGCTGAAATTTCCAAGGGATTTTTCAATGTTCTGGCACCCTCTGGTGGCAGGAGGGGCCAGAAGACACCATTCAATAATTTCATCAGTTCTTTTCCAAATTATCCTTATAACCAATCAAAATATCATGCCTTAATCTTGAAAGCCTAATCACAAATAACACGATTATGTGTTTTTTCTTAAAATATGGTAGAAACCTAAAATTGAATATTTATCATGGCTTCTTAAAATCCGACAAAATTTCATAAAATAAAAGGTACAATATAGTTATTACCTCTGAGCATAAACTTTTTAGCAGGCATAAAATTGAAAATATATTTAATATAATACATGTAATTGGAACAGATGTGACCTTCCTTATACAGGGTGGTCCTGTGTTATACCCCCAAAGACAGATAAGAATATTATGGTAACAGAAAATCTAAACTTGGAGCCTTTTGAGTGAAGCAAGCTAACTACCTGTCATGCTTGGGAACTATTTATAGTTTGTTTACATTTTAAGAGACAATACATTCGATCTTATATAATCATAGATTCAGTCCAGTGCCAAATCTACTTCATTATGAGACCTATCCTTTAATTTGCCTTATTCATCCAACCTGAGTAAGGTCCTGGGTCTTTGTCTTTCACAGTATCAGGCTGTTCTTGCATAACCACTATAAGCTTTGATTTTTTTTTTTTTCAGTAGTGAAGGGTTTATAGACATCTATCCATTCTTATTTACCTGCTTCCCTTTGCGACTGGGCCAAGCATGTACAAGGCAGCTGGCTGAGGTTAGAAAGAGGTTAGAAGTCAAACAGGTTTGCCAAGATGTCAAGGCCATTGGTCTCCCAGAGAACCAAACCCATCTAATAGCATTAAACTGCCACAACCTTATACACCTCTTTAAATTGCTCCATAGGTAAAACCCACCATGAATTTGAAACTGATGGGAAGAAATGTAATAGCACCAGCACACTCAGAGTTCGCACATATAGCAAAAACTCAACAGTGGACTGCATTATCCGACACAGAGGCCTGCAAGGAAGGAAACTGGTAGCAGCTTTCCGGTTTGAAAATTTGGGTAAGAAGAACTAATGATTGTCTTTATAATTTTAAATTTACCTTAATATTACACTATCAAATAAAATTAGATGGAGTGGCAAAAGTCCTTCAGAGTGAGATCACTGTCAACAAAGCTCTCCTTAATAGCAAATTCCTTTAATAATTGACATTTCTCCAGCCGGGCAACCGGGTTGCAACTGTACCAACCTTCAGAAGAACACCAGTTGTGCAGAAAGCAGAATGCCATATGCAAATAGTGTCATGCTTGCTGTTTGATAATAACAGCTGGCATAACTTGACCTTAAATAGTTTTATTGCAGTCATGTTTTTGGAGAGATCATATGAAGCATACTGTGTCTTTGTACTTGACCCGAAAGGAGATAATACTAACTGAAATAAATCTAAACTTGTCAATATCACTTTATGTTAATACAAAACACTGACACACACATTAAGTCATGATTCCTCTTTAGATTTATTTTGTTACAACTGTTTTGAAGATTTTACTTTAACCATGTTAATATGCTGAGCAGAACACCAAATAATAATAATAATAATAATAATAATAAATAAAACATCAAATATTAAATGTGAAGAGGAGCTGCCTCCATTTTCAGAATCTCTCTCGGATTCCTTCATCAAAAGTTAAAGAAATAACTTTAAAACTATATAGAACTTTTTGAGCCAAGAAGTATCCCATAAGAAGGAGCATGAATCACATGTCTGTAATTAATAGGACTCTGACCTTCATTATTTTATAAGGTACTTAGTGTAGAGATTCCTGAAGCACAAGGATTCACTCACACTAGCAAAGGAGGAAGCTGTTGATGATGATGGCTTTCTTGAAAAAGCTCTTTATCAAATGAAATACCTGACAGTGAAAGGCGTTTGTTAATGAGAACCTCACTGTAGGAAAACTGACGTGCCGCCCTGCGGGGGCTGTGGCTGTGGCTAACAGGTCCCCCTCACTACCACATGCTTTCCACTGGTCACTTTCTCATCAACCCCAAGTCGTTCTTCAGGAAGCTGCATTTAGAAGACTCAAGGACCCAAAGACTGGGCTGTACTGTAATCTGATGCAAACATTCCTACCCCTTTATGATTCATTCCCCTCCGCAGCCTCCACCCCCATCAGTGGAACGGGAGCATGGGGCACGTGGGGGATGTGGGAAGATCACCAAAGAGAAAATGAGACTTTATTTATCTAAATGCTTCCAAAAGACACTCAGAGTCTTAAATAAGAGAACCACTAATGTTGAGAAAATATATTTTTACTTTTCAACAACTATTCAATCCAGCTACAAAAAATTACTAGTGAGGGGAAAATTGCAGTTTCTCCTCCTTTATGGCCACATTTCTATATGTCTCAAAATCATAGCCATAAAATTCTTCTAGTAATAATGATATGTTAAGACTTGACTTTTATTTATGATCTAACTACCAATTACCTAGCACCCACTGGCAGGTCTCCAATAAGTATTCAAAGAGGAACTCCAATATCAGCTGTGAGTGACTTCCCTCTGTTTACGACTTTTTCCCTTTGGCAACTACTACACTGACATACAGATATTACAGACATTTTGTTCATCCAATTAATTTAAAGTTTGCTAGCTGAGGATGCTTTAAAACACATTTACAAGTAAGGATTCCGACCCCTTTCATCTCCACACACTACACGGTGGGACCTGGGGAAAATGAGGATCATACAAGCACCACATCTGGGAGGGTGCTGAAAAGGGAAGTGGCTTCCTTTGAAAAACCCACAGTGTGAGGCTTGGAGAAAAACGGAACAGGCATACATTAGACTGTCTTCAAAATGATTTATTTCATCTTGTTAGTATTCCAAACAAGGAATCTTGATTTCCCATTACATATCTGGAGACAGGATAAGAACAAAAATTTGAGCAACAGTTCTCAAACTTTTTGATTTCAGGACCCCTCTATGCTCCTACAAATAATTGAGGACCCCAAAGAACTTTTACTTATGTGAATTATGTCTGTCAATATTTACCTACTAGAAATTAAAACTGAAGTTTTAAAAGTTTAAATATTTCTTTATTTTAAAAATAATCTACTACATATTAACAGAAATGGCATATTTTTTATGGAAAAATAACTATACTTTACAATGTCAGAAAAATTAGTGAGAAAAATGGCATTGTTTTACATTTTGAAACTCTCCTTCATGCCTGGCTTAATAGAAAACAATTAGATTCTCATAACTTCTGCCTTCAATCTCTTGCAATATGTTGTTTTGCTTGAAATATATATAAAAAATATTCAGCCTCACACAAATATAGATGGAAAAGGGAAGAGTATTTTAATCGCCTTTTCAGATAATTGTGGATATTCCCCTTTGATGCTATGCTAAAACTCAACAAAAGGTAGTTTCTTACAGGTCAGTTGCTATGTGGACTCTGAAACCATATCAATGAACTTTCCATACTCTTTTATGTTAAAATCCATTGAATAATCTTGCACTTTGAATGGATCTTTTATCCTGGCATGATTTTGTCACATCATGCCTTGATAATTTGGAAAATATCAATGCACTGAGTTATATAGATCTGAAGAATGTTGGCAAATTTCAATATCAAAATGATATTTATTAATATTATCACTGATTTCATCAGAAGTCTTTTAACTATTTGGAAGCTGCCAAGCTCATAGTGGTGGATACAGATTTTCCAAAATTCTAACTTGAAATGTGACTAAGGAACCAAATTTTTAATATTATTTAATTTTTTATTAATTTAAATTTAAATAGTCAGTGTAGCTAGTGGATACTGTATTAGATAGCATAGGTCTATAATATTCTGACCAACCAGGGAGATAAATCATAATGCACCAGTATCCACCTAATCAAAACAACAGTCAGCCTAAATGAATCTATTTAGCAACTTGTTGACTGAGAGGATAAATCAAAGTAAATACAAATTCTAGTTTATATATAAATAAATATATATACACATTTATATATATATAAGTATATATGTATATATAAACCTGTTTTATACATAAATACATATGTACATAATACATATATAATTATCTGAATTCACAGAATATACCTTATTTTAGATCTTAATCATTATTGATAAATTTTATTCTGTGTCCCCAATATTTCCCATATTATGCTCTTCTTGTAATTGGCTCTCAGTACCTCTATTTGACAAGCTTTTAAGCTATTCCCTCTTTTCATTGCCAGTAGCTCTCCTCTTTTCTTCAATGTTCTCTGGCATCTTTATGGTCACAGAGCTCATTTTAGCCGTATAGGATATATTACTATTTCTCTAATGTTTCCTTAGTGGTTCTTCTTCCTTTTCTCAGAGCTCTTGCATGCAATTCAGGCATTTTTAGTTTTCAAAAATTTTAAATATTTGAGAAAATAAATTTTCAAAACCACGGAAAATTCATTGATTAAATAAAAAGCTGAGATGCACTCACAGATTTCATAAAGACATTACCTGCTTGTCACATTTCAGTATCAGTATTTGTAAATTAACAGGCACCGTTTTTATATGCTCCCAGGTTGCAGGCCTGTTCATTGACTGGTCAAATCTACACTAAGCTGAACCTCTAGAAACATTCCTAAACATTTTTTTTGTATTATACAATAACATTTAGTAAGCATTGTGCTTAATAAATAGCCAGGCATTGTGCTAAACACATTATATGAATGAACTCATTAATCCTCACAAAAAAACTCCAAGAGGTAAAAGCTGTTAGTATCTCCATCTTACAGGTTAGAAAAAACTGAGCATTCAAGAGACTGGGCATCTTGTCCAAACCCCCTCAGCAGCAAGCAAGTAACAGCATTGGAATTCAAGGCAGTGTGAGCCTGACTCCAAAGTCACCTAACTAATAAATAAGTAGGTAGATATGTGAATGGGTAGACAGACAGACAGACGGATGGATTGACAGGTAGATGGATATAGACAGAGACAGTGAATACCCTTTGCCTACTACTGCCAAATGCACCCCTCCACAGAGGTCCAGCAGGCTGTACCTCTAAGCTGGGCAGCTTAGCAGATGGGCAATCAGCGGGATTCAGATTTTAAAACCAGAGCAGAAGCTGCTGAACACGTAGTTCTCAGGTTTCTGCAAAACCTGCATAAGCAGGTAGCAGCCAAATACCTTCTCCAACGTATTGTATTGAGCACAATGTGGGTAAAATTGCTCTCCGTAGTAGCAGAATTTTGTTTTTCGCCTTTCCTAGTTGCTGATCAAGAGACAGCTTCAAATGCCCTGAAGAACAGCTCTCTAACCTCTCAAGACCCCCAGCAGCCCACTAGTACCACTGGTAAGTGCTGAAATCATCCAAACTTTTATTAAAAATCATGCCTCCTTGGGAAGGTCACTTTTCCAATTCTAAGTTTTAAGAATATTTTTAATTTATTTTTTTTATAATTTATTTATTTTTTCCCCCAAAGCCCCAGTGGATAGTTGTATGTCATAGTTGCACATCCTTCTAGTTGCTGTATGTGGGACGCGGCCTCAGCATGGCCGGAGGAGGGGTGCGTCAGTGCGCGCCCAGGATCCAAACCTGGGCCGCCAGCAGCAGAGCGCGAGCACCCAACCGCCAAGCCACGGGGCTGGCCCTATTTTAATTTTTAATAAGACCACACAGGACCCCCTGCAGCTGGCTCCAGCTCTGTGGTGTCCTGGAGAAGCGCCACATCAGGAGTATTCACTTAGTGGGATGGGCTTCAGGGTAACTAACGCCCGTGATGCCCGTGAGTTCACACACACACACACACACACACACACACGCACACACACACACGGATCATAACATTTGAATTTTCTCTGTGGTAAAGGGCAAGGTTGAATCCATTTATGGGGAGACTTGTTTCTTTGTTTTTTTGTCTAGAACAGACTAAACATGAAATAAAGACTTAGTATCAACAATGAGCAAAGAAGAAGGATCTGGAGATTTGTTGTTCTTTTCACTGAAGAATAAAATCACCTTTGAAGGCTCATCAGTTACTTGGTTGTCAAGAACTTAGATAGTTTTTGATGACAGGATTGAACTATAAATGCAGAAGAATTTAGAAGCCTGGATTATAATTCCAGTTTTTAGGACAGTGAACACACTAGATGGTTAACTCTGGGCAATGATCATATATTGAATTTGTCTTTGTCTTACTTAGCATAGAGTCTGGTAATAGCAGGTACTCGGAAAATGCAGTACGAATGAATGAATGGATGAATGCATGCAGTTGTATGGGGCTCTGAGCAAGATAGTTAGCCTCATCCAGAAAGCCATAACTTCCTACACGTCTTCTTTCTGTTTCAAATAGTGTCTCTATAATAATTCCATTTGGTGAGATAAGTGCCTTCATATCATTATCATGTTCATAGTTTTCAGTATCAGATAACGTTTAAAAATTTTTTATCTTGAATAATATTTAAAAGTAAATGTTTGGGGTTTTTAAACACTGATAAATACAATATATACCATACAATTTTTTGAAGGGCAATGGAAATTGAAAATATTATGAAGTGGAACAGCCACACCACTTGCTTTCATAATCCAATATTTTTAAACATGTTTAGAATCTAGTTGTCTTTAAATTGGCTTACACCACTACTAAACAACTCAATTTTCTGCTGTGCTTTTTCATAAATAAGATTTTTAAAAATGTGATTTCTAAAATTTCTTTCAGCTTTCAATTTCTACGATTTTATTACTGTTAATAATACCCATTTTTAGTAGAATGGGTGGTTTCATTCCCCTCACGGTCCACATAGTGGCGCTGTGCAATGGGCTAAAAAGCAAGAGACTGTAGAGAAGAAAAAAAAAAACCACCAAAACACGGAAAATAGGGAAGATAAACAACAAAATCAGAAAAAGATCTCTTATTTTTATAATTTCTCTTCTGTAGCAAAAACATCATAGCACATCCCACTTCTAAGAGGGAGGCAAGCATAGGTTTGAATGACAACCAAGCCTATTTTTCAACATAAAAATCATTGCTTTGTGCATTTCAGGCTGTAGGTTTTCTCTCCATAAAGGTTGAGATGCCATTCTTCAGGGTTCGGTTGTTATCCTGAAGCATCCTAAAGACCTTCTCACTAATAGGTCTGAATCAAGAAGGAAATATAAAATAATGGTTTAAATTTTGACTTCTGAGATTCAACATTGGCTCTGACACATTTGCTGCAGGACTTTAGACAATTTACTTCTCTAAACTGGTTTGCTCAGACCTGTTGTGAGAAATAATATATACCAAATGCTCAGCTTAAGGCCTGGCACAAAGTGTTCAATAAACGTTTACCTTAACAAAATAAGGAAAAGTGAGCCTGGCCATTTGCAACTATTTGGAAGAAGTTAATAGTTCAAAAATGACCACATGGCTGTTTTTTAATAAGGATACTTCATTTGGTTTCCAAAGCTGTTTTGCTGCTGTGGGATGACTATGTGTATATATATATACACTATACGTATATAGTCGTATGTATATATCGTATCTTACTTTCTTTCACCTTAGTTGCAGTAATGGAAGATTCTAGTACATCAGAGATTGACAAGGAAGGGGAAGAACAAACCACTCAAGACCCTGACTTGATCACTGGTAAGTGTCCCCCACAGCATTTAGAATAAACACTTGATATTTTAATCAATAAATCCAATGGTCTTTTTCAGTCCTCCTTTTTTTGACCTTTCTGCCCTATATGACGATTGGTTAATCACTCCCTGTTCCTTGACTTATTCGATTCCCTGGCTCCCTCGACATACGCTGCCTGGTCCTGTTACTTTTGCTAACCACTCCTTCTCTGTGTCCATTAACTAACTTCCCTTTTTCCTCTGACTTTTTACATGTGGATTTACTTCTGATTTTACTTCTCCATCCTTGGTTCTTTCTTTAATTCTTAAAGAGTTTACCCATTCCCAAGATGGTTTCTGTTGCCACCAGGCAGATTTCCTGACCTGTATTTCCAGAACATTCTCCTGAGCATTAGTCCCTGTTTCATCCCATTTCCTAGATATGTCTAGCTGTATTTTCTGCCATCTCCTCAAACTGAACATCGCTGAAAACTGAACAGCATCTTTTTCCACAAAATCAACTTGTCTAAAGCATCACACAGGCCCAAAATCTTGGCATCATCCTTCACTCCTGTGTGTGTGCATATATGTGTGTGCATGCATGTGTGTGTGTGCACACACACATATAAAATCAGTCAGTTTCCAAGGATTTTTGAGTCTTCTCTTTCAGGTATTTTGTCCACTGGCACTGCCCCCTCCCTGATCTAGACCCTCATCATCTTCTGCATGAAGTATGGTAACTTCAGTTTCTCCTCTTGTGATCCATTTTTAGCTTTCTATTATCAAAACATCCCTTTGCACCCTTCATACTTGTGTTCAGAAAACCTCTATGGCTCCCCACAGTCTACAACACAGAACATGAGCCTTCAACCCTCCACAAGGTGCACACGACCACCTACGTCTGCAGTTCTGTCTCTATCAAGTCCTGACAAGAACACACATTTTTCTCTGAAAATGTCATCCCATTTTGATTGCCCTGCCCTCATTTATCTGAACTGCCCCCAATGAAAGGAAAGTCCTTGTCACTCCTCTCCTTACCCCTCCTTCAAGGCCAACATCTTCACTGAAACTTTCCTGCCAACTAAGGGACCACTCCAGCCTCTGAATCCCTGAACATATTATTATATTAACACATATGGATCTAGAATCTGGCATAGATATCTTACTTCTGTTTGTTTTTATTAATTTATTTGTTTACATATAGAAAGAACTACTCCCTAAAGCATAGGGATTTTCTCTTATGCAGCTCCAAGACACATTGTTGGCACTCCTTAATGCTTGCTGGTTGAGATGAAGGGACCAGGACATCTAGAAAACCTAGAGCCCATAGAACCAGAATTCTAGGCTTAGAAAGACCTTTAAGAGCTCATCTAGTTTATCGCCAAATGCCTTCATGTAGGACCACATTTAACCTAGCCAAGATTAATGAATTTTCATTTTATCTGCATGTATTTCAAACTCCTTAACAACTTCTCTTCCTATTTAACTACACTTTGCTAGAAAATCATTCCTTACAGCTAATTTGAATCCCCTGAATATAATTTAAGTCAATATTCTTGTATGTTTTCTCTAGAAATGAAAAACCAGTTTGATATCTATGTAACTTAAAAACATTTTTCAAATCATCCCACAAACTTGCTTTGTTTGTTTGTATGCCTGTATGCTTGTTTTCAGAGGATCTATAATATGAATCTCTTTATCTTCATGGTAAAGCTCTCCTTTGTCTCTCCATCTGAGCTATTAGCCTACACTACATTTTGGAAGTATTGTGTATAATCCTCAGTGACCCAAAACTCCTCAAACTGTCTAAAATCCTTTCATTTTCCTTATAGAAGCAAATCATCAGTATGTGGGAACGACAAGCAAGAAAAGTGGCATCCTGCTGCTCTCTCTCGTGTCCTTCCTCATTTTCATCCTCTTCATCATAGTCCAGCTCTTCATAATGAAGCTTCGGAAAGCACACGTCATATGGAAAAAAGGTGAGTGGGCAGAGAACCTGATAGAGGCTACAAGATGCTGAAATAATTGGCTAGCAAAAGGGAAAATTCTTCAATTAAAGCTTTTCTGTGAGATGCGGCACAATCTATTTGATAAGTGTTGTCACTCAAATAAGCAATTGTTTGTTTTGTAGTAAATATGGGATGTGACTCACCAGGGACTATAGTCAAAGAGTGCATCACCAAGAGAAACTAGGGTAGCTCCAAGAATTGGCATTAAATTATAGAAGCTTCTATTCACAAAAGGATACAAAATGGAGAGCTCATCCTTTCACTCAATAAGCATTCACTGAGCATCTGTTGTGTGCCAGGCACTGTTCCAGGCACTGGGGACACATCTGTCAATAAGACAGATCAGGTCTCTACTCGCAAGGAGTTCATATTCTAGAAGTGGTCAATCAAAGGTTGACATAATAGACTGTTTCAGTCCCATTCTTACTTTGAAAGAATGCACTCAGCCTCCCTCAACAATAATATGTTAGTAATTTTTTTGCTAAGAATTCTGATTAAAAAGTTATCATTGGAAACAAAAAATATTATGTAGCTATTATAGAAGATATCTATTACGATACATAAACTCAACATATATCAGAGCTGAAAAGGACCTTAGAAGTCATCCAAAATAACCATCTACTCAATTCATCCCCTAAATGTGTGCCAGAATTAAATCCCCTCTTTGATTCTCAGCGATTATTTAGCCCTGTGCTGTCCAATACAGTAGCCACAATATGGCTATTGAGCACTTGAAATGTGGCTAGTCACTCTTGAGATGTGCTGTAAGGATAAAATATACACCCAATTTTGAAGACTCAGTATACACATACACACACATGCACACAAGAATATATCTAATAATAATATATTGGATTTACTAGTTAAATAAAATATATTATTAAATTAATTTCACCTGCTTCTTTTTACTTTTTGAGCGTGGCTACTAGAAAATTTAAGATTACATGTGTGACTCACATTATAGTGCTATTGCACATCACTGATTTAGCCACATATGGCTCAAACACCTCCAGTGACACAGAACTCATTAACTCTCAAGGCAAAATACCACATCTTTGAATGGCTCTGGCCCTCTTAAAAGTACCACTTCTCCTAGTTTGATATCAATCTCTGTAGACATTCAGATGGACTAACATTCTCATGATAAATAGACCTAGAGACAAGGTCTGATTTTCATCTGCACAGATGCACATTTTCAGATGCACAATAAGCAAATGCAATAGTAGTGTTTCAAAATCTCCCATTAATGCCCCATCCTCATTGTTCTTTAAGGGCTATTGGAATTGTTCCTTCCGAAAGGACAATACTTGATTCTAATCTGCTGTCATTTGACTTCTGCAACAGTTTTATACTGCCTAGCACAGTGCCCGCTGGAATCATAGTGAAGAATAAGAAATGATTTGTTGAATGAAGGAGGATAGGAGGTATGGGAAGGGGAGTGATAAGTCTACTATTTTGCAATAACAGAGGTACCATCTTATTCAAACATACATTTCTACATATAGATGATGTCTCTGGCACCAGAAATTAATAATTTTCTTTTCTCACAGAAAATGAAATTTCAGAATACAATCTAGAAAGTCACAAATCGAGGTCAAGTAATGAAGAAACATCGTCCCAAGAGAGACATAGCCAAAGTAAGTCAACTATGTGACCTGAGGTTTAAAAAATGAGGTTCATTAATTTGTTGCCTTTCAAGGGGAGGGTAAAAATCAAAGTTTGATCTTTAGCACTAAAAGTCAATCGCCTAAATCATCTTGTAGAACTTTAGGAAGTGCATCTTAAAAAACAAAAAGTAGCAGTTAAATTCATGTAGCTGAAGGTAAGTATGCCCCTTTGAGATGCCATCTCTGAGTCCTCATTGTCACACACAGGCTGTCACACACATTGTCACCCCTGGACTATATGTCCCTCCTGTGCTCCAGAGTATTCTATACACACCTTTACCAATGAAGCATTTCCACACCATATTGTCAGTTTTGTTGTGCTGATTTAGCTACCACAATACTCCTTCACGTGGTAGGTAAATGGATTTGCTCTCTCTGTATCCCCAAATCCTAGCACAGAGCTTGGCACAAATGGAGTGTCTGATAAATTTCTACTGAATAAATGAATACAAGGTTAACTAAGTCAAGCAGAAATGTTTCAGATCTTTTGGATGTCTTCATTGCAATTTCTCAAGCAAAATACTTAAAGAAAGCGGAAGAAGAGTCTAAATGGGAAGAAAGTGTGTGCATTCTTGACAAAGATCCAGTAGACAGAAGCCAGGACTATAGTAAAGCAAGAATCTAATACCTTCCAACCATTTGTATTCTTCATGCAAATTAACTTATTCTACCTGCCAGGAGTTGCAAGAAATGCAGTGAGCTCTGCCGCTAGTTTCTGTTGGTTTTATTGAGGTTTTTGTAGGAAGCGTGTCTTTTACAACACCTCTGCCTTTTTTTGTTTTGACCTCATAGGGTGTGAAATGGAAAGAAAGAATAGCTGTACTAGCAGGGAGAGAGGGGCACAAGTGAGCGGATGGATGGTGTGAGAACTGGGGGTGGGAGGGGAAAAAATGTGTGTATTGCAACATGTGTTTCTATAACATCAATCTCCTCATACTCGACTGGCAAGTAGGAGAATGATGTTAATATAATGTGAAAGTTGGGTCACTTCCTCTGCCCATTTTCCTAGGCAAGGGAACCAAAACAGTGGGGTAGAATGATAACCTCTAGCAGGAAAAGCCCTCGGCTCAGCCACTGAACAACCAGAAGCCCTCGCAGTTCAACTTTAAGAAAGTTTACAATAAGCACTTGCACTCCGGGCTCCCTCTCCAGAAGGGTGCATCCCCAGGGGCTTGCCACAGCTGCAGGAGGTTGCTGGTTCTCCCCGCTCAGACTCCACTTCCATCCTCCATCCCTCAGCGCCCTCAAACCCAGCATTTCAACTCGATTGTTTTTGCTCGCTTAAAAGAGATCTTCTGGACCTGTCTCTAGCCTCTGTATACAGAGTTATATAGGCTTTGAGGGGTCCGCCCCAACCTTCTTTCTCCCATAAGCCAATACTTTTAGTATGAAATTTTGCTGAAGGCAATGTGTTTTTTTTTTTCAGCAATACGTACATTATTTCATAGCAGAAATGTCTACATATTTTATTTCAGGTTTATTAGTATACTGTTTATGTAACAAGATTTTTTAGAAATTAGACTAAAACAATGCATTCAGATCATTTATATGCACATGTGAATTTCAGATTTGATTTTTTTAAAACATTAACATATGGACCTAAAAATACCATGTGCAATCAAAATGTTTCAAATAAATGAGTGCAATCTTGTTCAAAATAAATATTCATCTTCACCACGTTTTTTCTTTCAGCTTCCCGCTCTAAGAGCTGCATAAATTACATCACACAGTTGTACTCAGAAGCAAAAACAAAGGAGAAGGAGAAGGCACAACATTCAGAATTCAAAGGAGACCCCACGTGTGTACCAGAGAGCGTTGTGTAGGGTGCTCCCTGCAATGGAAAATATTGCAGGGCAGCCGCATCATCACCTCAGTGGAGCAGCCTGTGGGAAGGAGCATAATGACTAACGAAAAACGTACTTTGAGTGCAATGCAAGATGGTGTCCTCCCATCTGCCCCGGATTCAGAGCAGCAAAATGAGGACCAAACCATGGACATAAAGCTTCGTAGTTAAAAAAAAGAAATAACCTATTATGCCTGACACTACTTCAGAGCAAGAGGATTCTATTAAGGCTTGGGGATCTGTCTATGCGACCAGCTAATATCTTACTGTGAAGGAAACAGGAGTTTTTAGATGCTGGGCTCTAATGGAACTACTTAAAAAATAATTTTTTTTTTTAAATCTTTCCTTCTGGTCTCCAAATAAAGAACTTTGGGATGAAAAGGACCTAAAAAAGTTCTCTAATCCTAAGAGCTTACTTTCAAGACAGACTTTAAGAAGATGTAACCAGCACATACATTCTCAGGGAGAAGTGGTGCACAGCAATGAATGCCCAACACGCGTGCCCTGAGACGCTGGTGTTAGTGCAAGATAGACCCAGAGATTTGATTTTCTTGATAAATCACAAAAGCTGACCTGGTGACAGAGTTTTTACCAGGACACTTCATTACAAAAACATGTACCAAAAAAATGAGTTTAATTTACTGATTATTAACTGAATGGATGCTTTTGAAAAAATTATTTAATAAAGAGCAGATATATACTTGTTTTTCTAGTGGTTGTGTTACAAGTTCTACTTCCTACTTTCACATTCCCATATGAAAGTGACATGTGACAGGTCTTTTTTCCCCCATCAGTTTATTTAAGGTATAGCAAACTCTCACATATATTTATGACATTTCTCATTGTTTAGATCTGAATAAACTAATTCCAAAATAATACCCCTTACCCCCACCCTACCACACACACTCATATTATGAGTTTGTAATTTGTTACAGGGGCCAGATCCAGCTGAGCTGATTTTTTTTCTCTTGATAAATTTTTTTCAAGAATCGTCAAAATTACTGAAAGGTATAAAGAAAAAAGCACTTTTCCCCCGAACCACTTGAGAGTAAGCTAATATAATGTCCCATCACCCCCCAAATACTTGAGTGTGTATTTCCTACAAACAAGGACACTCTCCTCTATAGCCACAATGCCACCATCAGAGTCAGGAAATTAACACTGACATGTCTATACCAGCAGGCCTCAGACTCCATCCACGGGGCTCCAGTTGTCCCAGAGGCTACAGTTCAGAATCACATGTTTCATTTTCGCCTCATTCAGTTTGGCACAGTTCCTCAATCTTTCCTTCACTCTCATGACCTGAATGTTTTGGAAGATCATAGGCGAGTTATTTTGTAGGCTGTCTCTCAGTTTGGCTTTGCCAGATGTTCCTTCATGGTTAGACTCAGGTTATGCCACTTCGAAGGGACTGTCACGGAAGTGATGTTGTGTTTATCACATTACATTTCTTTATCTCATTATTGATGACATTCACTTTGATCACTTGATTAAGGTGGTGTCTGCCAGACTTCTCCACTGTAAAGTTACTCTTTTCTCCTAAGTTAACATTTTGTGGGGAAATACTATAAAACTATGTAGATATCCTGTTCCTCATCAGACTTTCAAGTTACTCATCTATTTATTTATATCTGTATGGACTCATGGTTTCCTCTGTTATTCAATGGGTTACAATCTGTGACTATCGTATGTTATTCACTGGGTTATAATCTACCACTATTAAATTAATCTCTTGCTAATTTGATGATCAAATTGTGGAAACAGGTTTTTGTGTCCTTCTTGTCCTCAATCGTTGAGTACTTTCTTGCTCTCTGGTACAAGATATTCCAGGCTTATCTTAAACCTTTCCTGCCCCAGCCCTGTAATCAGCCATTTCTGCAAGGATCCCTGGTTCCTTTTAGTGAAAGACAGTATTTAGAAGTCAAGACGCAGGGGCTAGATGTACTCACTGCTTTTGGGATATCATTGTTCTCAAGTCATCTCAGTAGACAGAGCTAGGGAATATATGAGAATATATACATATATACGTAAATATGGGTCTATGTGTGAATATATATTTAAATCTAGCTATTGAAAACCATGAGTTTATTCGAGTTTTCTCCCTTTCTGTATTTGTAACTATCTTTTCTGAGAAACCCAGCTCCCATTATCCTTAACATATTAACCTATTTGTTCAATCCCCTGTATGTAAATAGCTCCCATCTCTGCTACAATCCCATTGTCCTCCTCTTCCTGCACAAGTTCTGACTCCCCATGCTGTGTGCCCATCCCGCCATGGGGATGCTCTCCTCACCAAGCTTGGGCTCGGACACTCCACACCAGGTCACCACACTGTATGGAAGCTCTCACCCATGCAAATACACATACCGCTGCATGGTAACCCTCCTCACCCACTCAAGCTCGGACAGCGCATGCTGGGCAGCCCTCCTAGGGGCGCTGTCTCCTAACCATGCTGGGGCTCAGACACCCCTCTCTGGGCCGCACAGCTTCCCCACCAGCACCAGGACGCCTACTTTGCTATACCTGATTTCTGAGAGATTTAATGTCTAAAGACATCAAGATGAGGCATGTCCCATATAGTTTTGTAGCAGCTCTGAGACAGAAATCATTCACCAAGCTATTTGTATTCTGAAAACAACGCAGAGGGAAGAACACTTCCACATCAGAGATGGTGCTTGTCATGGTTGAGCACACCTTGCTACTGTTCTGTGCTACGCAGAGCCTACGTCTGCAGGCTAATCCTCCCAAAGGATGTTCCCTGGGACTGCTTCCATTGTTCCAGAGCCTTTTACTCAAGAGGCCAAACTAATGTACCAACATTCCGGTACCACGTAAAACAGAGGTGAGCAAACTGTCAGATTTCGCCTGAGAGGATTTCATAAAACACTGATTCCCAGGTTTGTCCTCAGAGATTGGTCTCAGCAGACCTAAGGCGGGGCTTTGAAATCTGCATTTATTTTATTTTATTTTATTTTTGTGAGGAAGATCAGCCCTGAGCTAACATCCGATGCCAATCCTCCTCTTTTTGCTGAGGAAGACTGGCCCTGGGCTAACATCTGTGCCCGTCTTCCTCTACTTTATATGGGACGCCGCCACAGCGTGGCTTGACAAGCGGTGCATTGGTGCATGCCCGGGATACAAACCCGTGAACCCCAGGCAGCTGAAGCAGTGCATGTGCATGTAACTGCTACGCCACCAGGCTGGCCCCTGGAATCTGCATTTTTAAAAAGCTCCTTGAGTGATTCCAATAGGTTGGGATGCCCTGATGTAGCACAAACCAAAATTTTTTGAAGCATAGCTGAAGTAGAAATAATATTGCTAAAGCTGTCTTTGAAATAATATTTAGCAATACTATATTCTCCTGGAGGCAGAAGGACCTTACGAGTCATCTAGTCCTCCCTGGTGTAGAACGATACCCCAATACACAGGCCAAACACATTCTGTGGACAGAGCACATCCAGCCTGCATAATGCCTAGCCCGTGGTAGTTTCTCAATTGATATTTGGCAAATAGCAGAGGGAAGACAGGGGAAAGAAAAATGACATTCATGGAGGACCTACTGTGACCCAGATACTTCTTATGGGTAAGCTAATTTAATCATCACAACAATCTTGCAAGGTAGGTATTAAAATGCACATTTGACACATAAGAGATGCTCTAAACTACAAAATGGCTTAGGAGACCACCAAGATTGCTTAACCAGTTAAGGAGAGAGCCCAGATGCTGCTCCGAGTCTGTCTGGTTTCGATGCTGTGCCCCTTCTACTGCTATATTAGGGTGACCCCAGGGGGACATTTCAGAGGAAATGAGATGCTGGGTAGCCGTGCTCAATAACTTTCAATGGCTCCTCCACACTGTTCACCCCTTTCTTCCTGCTGGGTGTCCTGGGACACTGACACTTAGGGCTCCATCAGGGGGCTTCCTTTTCCTCTCTCTGGCTTCCAGGTGGGGAATGTGGAGTACTGGCAGGTGAGCAGAAAATGTGTGTGTGAGGTTGCTAGGGACTAACTGTCCCCCAGCTGGAGGTCACAGCTCCCGTCGAGCAGTTCTGCCTCTGGTTCTGGAATCTACTTGCCTCCTTCACCTCATCAAGCCTAGAGGGATCCTGCACTGTCTTTTGTGGTTCTCCCAAAGCTTTGCACCTAGTTCACTTATTAAATCTCCTCAAATTTCCCAATTTGAGTGTGTCACCTGCTTCCTGCAGAGACCCTAACCAATACAATAGCTATATTTATAGATTTCCAGCATTTTAACAAATCTGAATCTAGGTATATATATATAATCATAGAATAATATTATAATTAGAAAGGATTTTAAAGTCCATCTCAAACATTTCCTAAAATGTATTTTTGAGGAACGCAGGTGGCCTAGAAATGTTAATAGATGTTCTGCAAAAAATAAAACAAGTTTTCTGGGGTTAAGTTTGAAAAATGTTGAACACTATATATCCCTCACTGAGGGATATGAGTATAGAGAAGGCTCCGAAAAGTCTTCTCATAAGGAAATCAGTGTACTTTGTTTAACCCAGCAAGGCTCAAACTTACTTAACCACACACAGCATTTCATGATGGATGCCCACCCAATGACTACTTGCCAATGCTTTCCTCCTTTCTAGTGGATTTGTGATTTTGTTCTAGTATCCACTGCCCACCATGTAGTCCTGTGTTTTAAGGGAGGTGGGTCTCCCTTAAAAAGGAGAAATCATGAGTGGTTTGAACCAGTCATAGTCCCATTCCTCTTGCCGAAGGTCAGTTTAGGCTTGGGCACATAGAACAACACTGGCCATTGAGACAGGAGTGGAAATTCCCAGCGGGCTTCTGGGAAAGATTTTTCTTAATGATAAAAAGAGACACTAGGAATGAAAGCATCCTACTTCCCCGTAATGTTGTCATAACTGCAAGTGATGCCTGGAACTGCCACAGCGGTTTTCTCCCATCAAAGACCCCAAGCTAACGTGGTGAGGATGCCATGGAAAAGAGACAGAATGCAACTGAACCCTTGATGATTTTTTTTTTGTTAGGCTGAGGAATATTTCAGAACTTCTTGTTAAGTAAGATAAAGATCCCCATATTGTTATTTAAGCTGGGTGAACAAGATTTTAAATTATTTTTAGCTCCTAAATGGAGCATCTTTTAAACTACAAAACAATTGCTTTATGGAACATTAGTGTTCTAACAAAGGCAATTTGGGAAACATTGATCTAGAGCAATTCTTTTGTATTATAGATGAGGGAACTGAGGCCCAGAGAGGTTTCCTCGGCCATCAAAGACCACACGACTAATTAGTAAGACAGTCGAGATTAGAACCTTGGTC